GCATCCGTGAAAAACATATTGGAAGATCCAACTTTGAATCTCACTGTATGCATCTCACGAATGCACGTTATTCGGTGAAATCCTTGACGTAAGTTGTATTGTCTAAAATTATTGGACTAATTAAGGCATACATAACATTTACGAGAAATTTTACAATATCACGGGATATAATGAATGCTCTCTATTTATCTTGAAATTCTCCACTCTCTATTATCAATGAAAATAGAGAGCATTCATCGGGAGGGATATGCATATATATATATATATATATTTATTAAACTGATTTTTTTAGAATTTCTTTATAATTATTTTCAATTCTAGAAAAACTGAACCAAACATACTCTAATTTTCAAATTGTTTTTTTTTTTTTTTTAACAAAAATTAAAACTCATTCGAATAACATAAAAAAGTTCAATCTGAACTAAACAATGACGCCCAAGAATGTGTATGCATATATATTTACTAATTGATTGATTGATTATACACAGGGCTCTTAAAAATATACTTGGTGGAATTCAAAGGCCTCTGATGGATTTGAGCGCAGAGAACTTTGCAAAAATGGTTGACAAAGCATTCGGAACCAAACTCAACCCTCCTTTCGACCCTTATAGTGACAGCCTCAACTACATGTTAGCTTCTTACATGCTTTCCATACATGGGACTTGTTGGTTACGTTGGGATCAATCCTTTGCTAAGGGGCTACCAATCAAAGGGGGTAAGTCTTCATTCTGGTCTTTATATATATATATATATATATATGTGATCATATATCCATGCCATACTACCAATTGTCGGATCAAAATCTTCTCCATTTTTCCGTATGACTGAATTTTGTTACTATCAATGGTGAATTTGATTACTATAATGATGAAATTCACCTAAAAGTAAATAGTAGCAAAATTTAAATAAGTGAAATTTCACTATTACATTAGCGAAATTCACCATTAGTAATAATAATAAAATTTCAAAAAAAGAAAAAGAAAAACAAGGGAAGAAGTGTTAAAAGTTAGATTAGTAAATGCAGAGAGTCGGAACCTAACACTCCAAAGTCCATTGGAGGCACTAATCCACTAGAATATCAAGACATTTGTGTTTGAACTAGTATTGATGGGCCAATAATGTATATAAATTAAAACTTAATTTTCTAACACTTGCTTTCATGTGAAGAGACAAGCACTCAAACAAACAGCTAGAGTGCTATCAATTATATATTAAAAACTGAAGTTATTCAATAGATTCGATAGGTAGAGTACTCGAATAGAGCTCTCCTTTCGAATCCCACTTGAATTCATTCAAAGGAAAGTCGAACACATTCTCTTTCGACAAAGTATCACTACTTTATTTAAATTTAGCTCTATCGATTCCCATACAATGTACATTGTCTTTTGCAGCTTTTGAGAGGACTTTTAGGGGTGAAAGTCGGGCAAGACGCCGTTATACGAATGTATCTGTTCGAGTGAGCTAGCGAAATAATGAAGCCATACAACTATACGGTGGCAGAGTTCACAAACCGCATTGCAATACTGAGGAACCGAATCGCATTGTGTGACATCAGAGATGAAGGACTCATAGTCCCACCTCAAATAGGGGCCGAGAACCAAACCACGACCAATGTTTTATTAGCCAATTTTTCCTCCATTTCTTACAAGAGAACTCCGGAAGAAATACTGAGGATCCTATATAACACCGGGAAAAAGCGTTTGCCCAGTGGATTCATTCCCCGGGGAGCAAATGGAAAGCTTGCTAGAGGACTTCTGAGTTCAGCATAGACAAAATTGCTAGCTCATGCATGCCATGCATACATCATGTTGCCATCAATTTATGTTTCATGAATAATTAAGTCCTATTTTCATGTAATAATGTTTGATCTATGTAAGTGATCAAAGTACCTTTTCTTTTGAAATTGACATTTCATATAAATTAAGTATTGTTCATGTTCACCAAGATAATGAATTTTTTCGTGAGCATTATTACCTTCTTGAAGTCTAATCGATGAATGTGGATTTCCAAATTCACAAACAAAGTGAGAAATATAGGGTTCAATGGTGAACATGTGTAGCCTCAGGGGTGTAACGGTGTTGGTAGAGATTCGGAAGGTAAATCCTTGAAATTTTGCTTTCGAATCGCACTCCTGACTTGAATAGTGCGTATGTTGTGAAGCCGATACAAATACTCTTAAAAATAAGAAAAAAAATTAGTGAACATGTGCAAGTAAAGCCCAATTGGCCCTAATTTGGGCTGTGGATGGGCCTAATTCTCTATTTCGCTAAGGGCTCGAGGGCCTAAAAAATGGAATGGGCTCATTTAAGGCCATATTTTATTTAGGCTAAGGTTCAAGTTAAACAAATTGACAGGTCTAACTCACAAGCCCAATTACTTTTAAAATTTCGAATCAAAACATTGTACATGGGGAATCTAGAATCCTCGCAGCATTTGGGCCAAAAACTGTTGGTCTCGTCTATCATTGATAGCCCAAAGACAGCTAGTTAAAGAGGTGAATATCCAACTTACAAGTGTTCAAGGTTGTATGAGCGAGTTATGGTATATTTATCATTTAATTATAAAATTAGGAAAGTAATAGATAAGGAAAATGCACTCGAATTGACCCTGCTTTTATTTCTTTTATTTATTTTTTCAACTTTTTAAATTAGTAACTAAATGTGATGTGTTGGTATAAGATTATTATCATATATATTATAGAAGATGTCTAGAAAATTATATTGAGGGCAAACTTTGTTCCATTATGATTAGGGATGGCAATTCGTGTTCGTGGGTCGTGTCGATGTAAGGATATTATACTAAATATGTAAATCCAAATCTAACCCATTTAATAATCGTATTAAGAATTCTCAACACTAACTCAACTCGTTTATTAAACAGGTAAACGTGTTAACATGTTTATCAAAACGAGACATTTAATATTTAATCAAATGCTAAATAATATTAAAAAAAAATTGTCATAATTAATCCAAATATTCCAGGTTTATATTGAAATGACTTAACTATCCATAGTAATTAGGTTTAAATGAGTAACATATTACATAGGTTATATTCTCAGATTATAACATGTTGAGTTAAATGAATCATAAATAAGTTACACGGGTTGAATCCTTCAACCCTAATATGACACGGTTAAGTAAACGAATTAATCGTGTCGATCCTTTTATGACCCAAACCCGTTTATACCAAATTCAAACCTTTTAAACTCGTATCGTATAGTAATTTTTTATCCTTAATTATGATTCAGTGATCATTGGTTCAAAAAAAAAAAGAAAAAAAAGTAAAGAAACAAACTCTCCAATTGTAGAGGTAATATTTCATATATATATATATATATATATATATATATAACCCTCTCAAACCTACACAAGGAGACAGCCTCGTAGAATGAGTTTGCCTTTTTTTTTTTTATTTTTTTTTATTTTTTAATTCATGTGAGATAAATACAATAATGATGATATTGACGTCTAGTTGTGGTCATTTAACGCTGTTACTTATTCTTGATAAGATTTTTTTTTTCTTTTTTTTTTTTTTCCTTCTAAAATCATTTATCCATTGTTATCATATGTTAATGTCATCCTCCATGTACGATGGTCCATTGCTCACATATGATATTGATCTTATTTATCAAATTGAAAAGGCTCTATCTCATATTTTTATTGCAAGTGGTATCAAAGTAAGTCGAGATCTTGATCCTTTAGGGCTAGTTTGGTTGGAAAGAAATAAAAGGAAGGGAAAAGAAAGGTAACAGAAGGAGATGGAATTTTGTGGTTGGTATGACATATGATAAAGAAAAGAAAGGAAACAAAGGGAAATGGAAGGATTTCAACAAGGCAGCAACATTACTTCTGTTATCCTTCCAAAATTGGGAGGAATTGGAGGGGAAAGTCAACATTTTATAAATACCAACATTGCCCATATATTTATAAAACACAAAATTAGAATTACAGATGTGTCCTAGGGCATATTTACCCATTCAATTAACAAATTTATGTGAAACAAAGGCGCCAAAAGAAAGGAGGTTCTTCTTCTTCTTCAATTTAATCCCTTCATATTCTCATTTTGAGGAAGGCTGGAAACAAAGAGGCTGGTTTCTTTTGTTCCTGGTTGATCTTCTCTTGCTGGTGGTCTCTATTAAAAAATAATAAAATTAATTGTAGCCATAGTTCTTCAATGGTGCTCTCTGTTTTCATTGGTTTGTTAAATTAGTTTTGCAATGCATTCTATATCATTATAGAGTACGTGATATTTTTCCTCTTCACTATTTTGAGTGGTGTACGTTTCCGTGAGTCAGAGTTTGGAGAAGGAGAACTTCTACTCCTTTTGATTTTCTAGGTATATGGGTTTCTTCAATACTTGTTGAAATATATATATGATATTTATATATTTCATTCATAATATAAAATATATGATGTATATCTCTTGATGTGGTATTTAATTCTGCCCATTATGTTCTACCATGGTCTTATGTTCATAAAGTTTCTTTCAATTACTTACATGCTTGATAGTTGTTATTTTTGCTTTGCTGGAGATATGTGTTTTTTTTATTACTCTGGCAACAAAGAGGTGGTTGGGTTGTATAATACACGCGCGCGCGATAGGAACTTCATATATTTCAAAATTTATTGTGAAAACCGCAAGATCTGAACCCTTACATTTCAATTAGAAGCTTAAAAAATAATTTATTTTTATGAGGCCAAAGACAATCCAAGCTGAGAAATTTTATTATTTTTGCCCAGTGAGTGTCCTAAAAAAAATTTGCATACTCAACCTATATAATTTATCTTTTAAAATGTAGGAGGGTATATTGGTAAATTTCGTAACATAGTTTCATTTCCTTTCTTCCCCAAACATAATTATTGTTGATATACGTGCCACGTCGTCTGCTTGAATGGCACCACCACTGAAAGTAGGTACCCCTGGCCAATACTTATCTGGTGTGTCCCTGAGCGGACCAAGTAATCTCAAGCTACTTGTCCTAAAACTGAACTCACTGGCCGATGAAGGAGTCGCTACCCTTCCTCTCCTGTGGACGTGCCCCGCTCCAGTTGGATGGGCCCCTCCTCCCTTTCCTTTCCAAGGTTGCTTCCTGCAGGTGTAATCTCGGGCATTTCTTTCTCTAGCTCTCTTTTTTAACTGAAAAGACCTTGAGGCACAGGCAGGAATACGAGCTCCACGGGGTCGAAAAGGCGGAACCCCGAGGAAGGCTCCTTCCTAATCTTCAATCTCAGGAATCTGAGGACATGTGGCTGGGATCTAAGGAATTGTCTCAACTTGAGGCCGATACACGGGGAAAGGACCTTCGATACCCGAACTTGAGCTCCGAGTATGGCAAAAGAAACATTAATTATGAAGGATATTTGATAAGATCCGCATTAATGAATGACCACCATTACCTCTTCAGATCTGGGGGCAAAGCGCCGTGGTTTGCCTGTCAATGTCCCGTCTGTCAGGGGGAAAGGCCCTCGAACCCACAAGTAAGAGGAGGCTCGTCCCAAGGACCAACGATCATTGACCGAGAAATGAGTATTACAAATAGGAGCATTAATCAGTCTTTAAGGCAGATTACAACAACCCTTAACAACCCTCAACAACCCATCACTATTGAGTTCGAGTTTCCTTGGTATTAAGGTCGGCCTTCCCTTTCTCAATCTCTAACTCCAGAAAGTCCTTTGTATTGCTTAGATCCTTACTTGGATACTGAACTCAGCTTTCTCGGCTTACGTAAAATAATCTCCTCATCCTACTAAGAACTACCATCAACAATTATTATCCTTTCCTTTCTTTTTTTTCATTAATCAACCAAACACGATAAGAGGTTAAAACTATCATTTTTTTTCTTTTTCATTATAAGTTGTATGGCTTCACTGATTCTTTAGCTCGCTCGTACAGATGCATTCGTATAACCGCGTCTTGGCCGGATTCAACCCCCAACAGTCCTGCCAAGAGCTGCACAACACAATGTCTTTTTACGTGAGACCAAGTTTTAAAAGCTTCATATACATTGTTGAGTCCATCTTTTAGGGCTCAAGCTTATCAAACAATTGTTAGTCTTGCATATATATATATATATATATATATATATATATGCAAGGCAGCTCAATAATTTGAGACCTTAGGTGAAAAAAATAAAATGATCTTTTAATAGAGTCTACCCATATGTTCATGCTAATAATATGCTCATTATTTGTTTTGTGATTTTTAAGTGTAGTACTAAACTTTTTTCAATCTCTAATTCTATAGTTAGTTTATTGACTATGTACTTTCTAAAAGACATATTAAACCATATATATATATATATATAATTCATGTTAGCAGAAGTCATATTTGTGTTTATGTTGATCTAATAGCATTCTATTAATTATACAGGTTAAATTGAAGGCGACCCATCTAAATGACTTAATGAATTACTAAAATTATGAAAATGAGGATATATAAGTAGGACAATATAATTAGAAAAAGAAACAAATACTATAATATCTATTTTGGGTTTTTTAAATAAGGAACTATCATAATAATTGAGTTAAAATATGTTACAAGTCAATTGGGTTGTGTATATATACTATTAAGTCTGAATAACATTGTGAATGATTTTTGTACATGTTTAGGTACTCTTCTTGAAAAGTGAACTAAACAAGCACATAAACTTCGTGTATGTTGATTGATTGTATACAGGGCCATCAAATCAACAGTTGGCGGGTTTCCAAGGCCTCTTTGATGGATCTGAGCAATAAGAACTTCGCGAAACTGTTCGACGAAGCATTCGGATACAAACTCCTCCCTCCCTTCGACCCGTATCGTGACAGCCTGAGTTACATGTTAGGTTCTTATGTGATTCCATACATGGGACTTATAGGTTATGTTGGGACAAATCCAAATCTTATTGGCCACAAATCTAAGATGGTAAGGCATCATTTTGGCCTTGAAATGGCATATATAGCTTGAGCACGGATTCTTTTGTAACAAAAATGTATTGTATAAACTTTTTTCCAAAAAAAAAAAAAAAATCATCGTATTATATAATAGAGAACGAATGTGAATGATCATAACTTTCTTGGTTGTACAACACAACGTTGTAACATACAACAAAGGATTCCTAGTCATATAAGTTCTCACCCATGCTTCGAAATATATATATATATATATATATATCAAGCTTTGGGATAAGTGCAAAAAACCTACTAATATACAGGATTTGTGCAAAACTAATCCCTATCTTTTGAAACTGTGTATGTTAGTCTATAAAATTCAAAAAATGTACAAATAAGTCCCTCTACCCACTTTTTTACAAAAACTAAATATGAAATTCCAATTTTGTCCTTTTTCCTTCCATTTTACCCTCACATTATGCCATCTTCACTCTCAAATCCGATTTTGTCCTTTTCCCTTCCATAATGCTATTCTTGTTTTGTGTCATTATTCTTGTTTTGTGTCATTATATATATATATAGCTTACAAAGAATATTCTAAGCGGATACATGAATTAAACAAAACCTGCAATCTGCGGGGGCTTTTGAAATTTAAAGAGGCAGACATCATGATTCCTTTAGATGAAGTGGAACCAGCCAGTGAGATTGTTAAACGGTTTTGTACTCGGGCCATGAGTAACTTACTGAATCTCATTTTTTCTAAAATGTATATGACAACCTACTCTCAGTGGAGCATACTTGAAGTCTACTATGTTTCTTTGATATGTTTTCATTTTTTTTTTTTTGGGTCATTTTCTTTGCTGATGGACCTTATTAGTGAAATTTATAAGACTTTTTCTTGTAAATTTGTCCACTGTACGCAATATTCGGGGACGTTGTTTGGACGGAATCTGGGCAGAGATGGAGTATTGCAAGACTTTTCCAGCGTGCACTATCAAAGTTATTTCCCAAATAACAGGTCACCGTGTAGCGCTCTCTTGGAAGGAAATTGATAAATCAATTAAAAGTGTGAAAAGCACAGAAGAGGCAACTCCGGCGACCATGATGCCGGCGATCAAAAGCTGACATATTTGAAGACCAACCGAGAAAGCCTTCAGCTTCGAGAACTGATAAAGAGACTACCACAGTGAGATTGCATCAACGACCCAGCACAACAAAAAACCAAGTGACCGGAAAACTTTAAGCAATGACCCAACCGTGAGCTTCACGCCGGCGATAGCAGAGATTTAAATCATATATTTTCCAAGTCCCACGAGCTTCACTCAATCCGTCGTGCCACAACTCAAGTGAGATTAGAGATCAAACGGACCGACCGAGCTAACCCAACGACCAACTGAGCTTGATAAACCCAGAAACTTCAACGAGAAGAAATCGACAAGAACCAGCGAGCTCGTCCTTGTATTTTTCCGGCGAGCTGCATGAACAAGTCCGACGCGTTTCATTCTGCATCAACAGTTCCGGCAAGCTTGATTCAAAGACTGAACAACTCCGGTGTGATTTAAGGGCAACAAAAGCACCAGTGGCGAGACACAGCAGATAAGCCGGCAAACTCTCTTTGATTCAATTGAACGACACTTTCCTTCATCAAATCGGTGACCCACAACTGAAAGATAGAGTCTTTGGTGTTGGTTGTTGGCAAGGCAGAGTCAGGATCGCAAAGTAAGGGGAGTTAAAAATAATTAAATATGATTGTTTAGTGTGTTATTCATACTTTAAATATAAAATTCTCATGCATCAATCATTCAATTAAACCTAATAATCTACAACCTTCTAACACATTTACACTTCCAAACTCTAATGTGTTTTCAAAGTTAAGAATCCATTGGAATATGTTTTATACAAGTATTAAAACAAACGCCTATAAGAATGCAAGATATATATGTTCTTTATTAATAAATTCACATTAGAAAGTAAGATCTATGTGTTTGACCCTTAACTAGTTATTAATCCATTGTATAATAAATTACCTAATTTGATAAGAAACCATCAAGTCATCAACAAAGCTTTTTTTTTATTTTACAAAAACAAAAATCAATATTTTGCTGGATTAAAAATAATAAAAAATTGAGTCTAGGTCTTTTTCTATTGACTAACAATGTGTTTGGTTTGTTGGACTGGACCATGCTATGTTTTATTATGGCTTTTTTTTGTGATTGCGCCTGTCCATTGTTCATGGACTTGCTCATATTTAAGGCTTGGCCTTTATAAATTTTATAAGGCTTGGCCTTTATAAATTTTATAACTCCTTTTATTTATAGATAGACTATGGATTGGACTGATCGGAAGAGGAAGAATAATACATGGGCTTATAAAAACAATAGTACTAATTTTTTTTTTTTAATTGGACCTGGGCTATAGCGCAGGTTAGCCCATTACTAATTTCTCCCTGGTTGTTGGTATAGACAAAATGGGATTTGCTTTATTCTGGTCCCAAACAAACTTCTTTGGCCATCGGATAAAATGGACATTTTACATGGCGTATATTTTTAGCTATTAATTTACTCTAATTACATTAGGGTATTACATTCATTTTAAGTCACAAGGGGGGTATTTGCACCGAATCAATAATATAGGGAAATTTTTTACCGTTTTACACTGTATCGATGGTAGAAGAGTTTTGCTTCTTTTTCTTCTTTTTTTCTTTTTTCTGTTTTTTTTTTTTTTTTTTAAACACTTAAACCATCAAGCTTTTAACAGAAGTCATTGCCTTGTGCAGCTGTGGGCAGGACTGTTGGGGGTTGAAGGAGGCCAAGATGCCGTTACACGAATGTATCTGTACGAGCGATTTAATGAAACAGTGAAGCCATACAAGATCACGGTAGCAGAGTTTACAATCCGCATTTCGGAGCTGAGGAACAAGCTGGCAATGTGTGGCATCAAAGATGAAGGAATCATAGTCCCACTTGAGCTCGGGGCCGAGAACCGAACCACTAGCAACGTTTTGTCAACCAACACCGACTCCCTCTCTTATAGCAGAATTCCAGCAGAGATACTGACGTTCCTGTATGACTCCGGCGACGAGAGTGTGCCCGGCGGATTCTATCCCCGGGGAGGAAATGGAAAGATTGCTAGGGGATTTCTGAAATAGACATAGCCAAAAATGCTAGCCTAAACATTAATTAATGAATAAATAATTTCTATTTTCATGTAATGTTGTTATGATCGACGTTAGTGATCAATCTGTTGTTTTTTAATATCATGTAATGTTGTTATGATCAATGCAAGTGATCAATCTGTTGTTGTGAAATTGGCATTTCCTATTTAAGTGCTCAAAAAAAATTCATGAGTTCGTCACTGATAGTATTGATTAGTAACAAGAAAACATTACTCAATATTGGTCCAGCGTGCAAGTAATATTTGAGTGAAATACTAAAGACGATTTTGAAGTACAAGTCAAACTTTTATCAAATGAACACTTAATTACAATAAATATTGAGGACATTTTTTTTTTTTTCAACAAAATATTGAGGACATTGATAAACAAACTTAAATACTGAAAGTCTGAAACCATAACGATGAGTACACGTCACAAGCATCTTATCCACCAATTCAGCATGTAATAGATCGGATTAGGTTGGATTAGGATCCTCTCTCATAAAAAAATTTAGTTCTTCTTCCGTTCATTCAAATCGACAATATATACAACAATTTTATATATAGTATTAATGCGACAATTTTATATTGATTATTCTATAAATTTGTAAAGGTGTTAAATTCTCGATTCAATAAATTACTAATATGTTATATGGGTATTGCATTTTCTATGTGTTGCATGAATATTATATATGTGATATAGTGCAATAGTTAAATTTGGATAGGATGACTCAGCATAAGGAAAACTAAGCCACCTTGCCTTGATTAAATTTGGCTTTGGATGAACTAATGTGAATGTGTATAAGCTTTATTGCTCGAAAATTCCCAGCGCTAAACACCCGATACTGACCGCACTAAGAGACACAAAAGCACAAATGACATTAGGTGAGAAAGTGGAGTTAAGCATCTCTGGCAATAACAAAAAGAGAGGTCGCAATAAATATGTAAAGGTGTTGAATTCACGATTTAATATAATTGCAGCGTTGTAACACAATGTAATATTTTGTATGGATGTTACATCTTTTATGTAAATGTGTTGTATGAGTGATTTATTTGTGATATAGCGTGTAGCATTGTGATATAGAGTGTGAACTTAATTTGAATAGGATGACTCGGCATCGGAAAAAGGAAGGCCCCATGCCTTGATTGAATTTGGCATTGGATGGACTAATGTGAATGGGCTGCAAACACCTCGGTGCTAACCACACTGAGAGACACAAAATCACAAATGATGCTAGTTGGCAAAGTACGTGGTGTTCAGGGCTATACAAAAACGAGACATTGTGATAATATCATCATTATGCAATAAATATGTAAAGACTTTAAATTCTCAATTTAATAAAATTGTTGCGATGCAACACAATATAATATGTTGTATGAATGTTGTATTTTTTTAAATGTAAATATGTTGCTTGTAATATAGTGTGTGACCTAAATTTGAATAGGATGATGAGTCACCATCAGGAAAAAGTAAGCCCCCTTGCCTTTACGAATTTGGCTATGGATGAACATGCAAATGGGCAAATGGATGCAAGTCTTGCCAAAAATATCAATAATATCACTGTAACAATAGTTTTTAAAGTTCAAAGTTCCAATACTTTTAAAAGTGTATATTTTTAAAGAATGTATAAAACCTAAAATTCACTAGACACTTTTTTTTTGGGGGGGGGGGGGGGGGGGTTATTATTTTATTTTTTCCCGTTGTTTACCGTTACAGTTTTGATATTCTTCTTAGTTTCAGAATTCTCAAAATCATACTTGTAGACTCAAACTTTTATTATTGTAATATGCAATGAACACTTAAATATAATAAACACGGAGTGACCCCTTAAATATAATTCCAAGTCACATTGATACACACATGTGACATTTGCTTATGCAAATGTCGCTTTTGCTCCTAATGTATGCATTTTTACAAACTTAAATACAGAAACCATCGCATGATGAGCACACATCACGGATAAAGTACCATTTTGATTCATCTTATCCACCAAATTAGCATGTAATTGATTGATTAGGTCGGATTAGGATCTCTCATGTGCAAATTTAGGTCATGTTACTTGAACGTTTAAATCGATAATGCAACAATTTTAAATTGATTGCACAATTAATAAATATATAAAGGCGCTGAATTTTCGATTTAATAAAATTGCATCATGTAATACATCTATGCACATGTGTTATATATGTCATATAGCATGTGCATTGTGATATAATGTGTTAGCTAAATTTGAATAGGATGATTTAGCATAGGAAAATTTGAATAGGGGGGGGTTATTATTTTATTTTTTCCCGTTGTTTACCGTTACAGTTTTGATATTCTTCTTAGTTTCAGAATTCTCAAAATCATACTTGTAGACTCAAACTTTTATTATTGTAATATGCAATGAACACTTAAATATAATAAACACGGAGTGACCCCTTAAATATAATTCCAAGTCACATTGATACACACATGTGACATTTGCTTATGCAAATGTCGCTTTTGCTCCTAATGTATGCATTTTTACAAACTTAAATACAGAAACCATCGCATGATGAGCACACATCACGGATAAAGTACCATTTTGATTCATCTTATCCACCAAATTAGCATGTAATTGATTGATTAGGTCGGATTAGGATCTCTCATGTGCAAATTTAGGTCATGTTACTTGAACGTTTAAATCGATAATGCAACAATTTTAAATTGATTGCACAATTAATAAATATATAAAGGCGCTGAATTTTCGATTTAATAAAATTGCATCATGTAATACATCTATGCACATGTGTTATATATGTCATATAGCATGTGCATTGTGATATAATGTGTTAGCTAAATTTGAATAGGATGATTTAGCATAGGAAAAAGTAAGCCCCCCTTCCTTGATTGAACTTGGCTTTGGATGAACCAATGTGAATGGGTGTAAGGCTCGCGACTCGAAAACACCTACACCACGGTAAGAGACACAAAAACAAGTCCATACTTGGAGATACAAAACTACGGATGACGCTAGTTGGCAAAGTGGTGTTAAGCATTTATGACTGTACAAAAAGAGAGGTCATTATGATATCATCATTAAGCAATAAATATGTAAAGGCATTGAATTTACAAAACAAAGTAATATATTATATATGTGTTGCATTTCTATTTAAATGTATTACATTAGTATTTTTTAAGCGTGTTGCTTGTGAATTTGTCCTAGAGGGTGTCAAGCTAAATTTGAATAGGATGCGTCACCATCAGGGAAAAGTAAGCCCCCTTGCCTTTATTGAATTCCACTATGGATGAACCAATGCAAATGGGTGTAAGTCTCGCTATTAGAACATTGTTGGGAAACGTGCAAGTTTTTAAAAATCTTTTGGGAAATTTTCATACATAGATCTTGATTCATCACATATAGACAAATTTTATGCAAAAATAAAAGATGATGTATCATTCAATTAACAGTTTGAATACTTACATCAAAGGTCTGAGTAAACCTTTAAATCTTTCCTCTAAAGTGAATGTTCTCACTTATTATAGACCCCTTTAGGAATTACCAATATGCCTTGATGAACGACCTTGGAGTCAAGACTTGTGGTAGCCTCCTTTAGAAGAGATAACAAACCCTAAAATCTAGAGAGAGAAAATATATTTATTTTTCTTCTTCTAAAAGTCACACCTAAAATATACATAGACCCATGTATATATAGGCAAGATAAAAATAAGAAAAGGAAATAATAAATCTTTCTCCATCTCTAACTCAAATATCTCAATTCTAATAGGACTCCAATATCAACTTGGGTTATGGGTGAGAATTCTTTGGGCTTACTATTTTCTTGGCTACTATAAATTAATAATTAGTTTGGTCCATTAAACCATGGATCCAATTTAATTAATTCATAAATTAATTTCTACTCCACTAAAAGAAATTAATATAACTCCAATTAAAATAGTAAAGAACATCTAAGTCAATGTTGCACTTTAACCCCTCTATGTATAATTATTTATCAGATAATAAAGTTATCAATCCGACAACATAATTAATATAATTATTTTGTTACCTTTGATTATTACCGACTTGATTACAATAAAATATTCGTTTGACAAAAATAATAATTTACTCTATATATATATATATATATATATATATATATATATAACATTTTGTCTAAAACATACGAAGGCCTTCGAATTTAATTTGTGATCAACCATAATCAATACAAAATAAATATAAATAGCACTGATACAAATATTAAGAATATAACCTTCTAACTATTAATTACATAACTACCCAAAGTGTCAGTCTAAGAATTCCGAAGTATCCGCCGAACAAATCAAAGTAATTATTAATTAATAAAAGAGTTTATACTTCTCTCATGCGTCAAAGTTAAAAGCCATGACTGTGATAGAGAGTAATTGCATACGACGGCTCTCGCAATATATTTCAACCTATCGTGAACTCCGTTCAAGTCTTAATTAATTAAATGTTCATCCATAATTACCGACTTAGAACCATTTATGATTACTAATTTATAACTTAGTATTAATTATCATTACATACATATATAAATATATCTTATAATCAAGTGGACTCAATCAATTTCATAATGAATCGAAATAATACATTTCATTCACCAATTGTATAATGCCTTAATAATAATATTCAGATAAGGAACCATGACTTTTACAATCCAAATAAGAATTTGCTATGCTATGGCACACATATCCCAACAAACACACCCTACGTCCACACTAAGAAACACAAAAGCACGGACGATGCTAGTTGGCAAAGTGATATTAAGCATCTCTAGCGATACATAAAAGTAATATCACGATGATATCATCTACATCCACACCAACCACTCCTCGTGAATTGCTTGATTCATTACGACATATGACAAATGAAAAACATAAGAGAATTCAAATAGATCTGACAATGGCATATAATTTACTCCCTCATCCAGCCGCAAATGGAGAAATTATTATATGGTAGGTCCCCGGGACCAAAGGTGCATTGTAATAATTTCTCTAGGCAAATGGGGGTCGGGTCTTGATGGAGTGCACCAATTGGGGTCCTAGATGATCTTCAGTAAAGGCACTAATACAATGAAAATCACCCAAAGTAG